CGGTCACGGCCCCGCCCGCGTGGTGACGTCATCGCCCCATGTCAGGCTGTCAGCGCGCTCCTGACGTCACCGCGCTCGTCACGCGGGGCGGCGGCAGCGGCGGGGCCCTGCGCGGCCGTCCCGGCTCGGGAGGCGCCAGCGGCCCCGCCCCCCACGGCTGCACGGGGCGCCATTAGCCCCCCTCGTTCTGTGCCTTGCGCCTCACCCCCTTCCCCCCTTTTCTCTCCCCTCTGCCCTGACCTCTGCACTGCTGGTCTTTTCCTAAAGCAGGTGCTGGCCCAAAATAAACTGGAGGGCTTTTTTCCACCCCCCAACTCCTTAGGAGTTAGCAAAGCACTTTCTTTTCTGTCCTCACCCTTCTTGCATTGGATTTAAAATACAGTTTTATTTATTTTTATCTAGTCCCAGTCAGGTCACTCCTACCCACAGCAGGAAGCTTTGTGGGACTGGATTCACTCTTCACCAAGCAGACAGTAAATGTAGAGAGGAGAAGGGGCATCTTCTGTGATCTACCACAACACATACCTAAAAGTTAGGGTAGGGTTTCTTCTGGGGCCTTATAAAGGAGGAATTGGAAATGGCTCTCTTAAAACAAGCCATGGTGGCATTTCTAAGCTGTCACTGCTTACATAGGTGAAGTAGTTCTCTTAGAAAGAAGGCTGCAGGGTTAGACACTTCAGGGGAGTTAATCCCTTTCTGTTTATGTTTTCTGACAATGCCTAAGTCACAAACGGCTACAGAAGCCCCTCTGTTTATTTACCTTGGGTTCTGAAAAACCCATTGCTTCCTCATGCAATTCCTTGATTAGCCCTAGCTTGAAAATGTAAAGATGCTTGGTGGTGAGTGTTTGTACTCAAATTTTTATTGCAATTTTTCCATCAGCCAAGGAAGCAGCATTATGATCAAAATGCATGTAAAAATGTAGGCACACCTTCCCACTTCAAGTGGGGGAATCTTTATCTACATCAGAGAAAAGTCAACTAGAAGAATGAGTGACGAACTGATAAGAACCAGAAATCCAGCAGCACAATCTATCTGTAAAGGGCTGGTGAAGTTTTTAGCCAGGAAGGCTGTCCTGTTAAACTACTTGAGTTACCTGCCCCAAAAAGACAGAAGGAGGAAAGCATATAAATAAATACTGCATGAATGATTTGTGTTTGAGTGGTAAGACTTGCTCTTACTCTTCAAAGCCCTTTTCTTCCACGTATCACCAATCACAAAACTAAAAGGGTCCTGAAAGGAAGTGGCAGGGGACAAGGGTCTCCTCTACCTCAGTTTTAACATGAGGTCCTCCCACCAGAATTCATAAATCTGAGTTACAGTGCCCCAAAAACAGGGCTCCTATCATGGAGCCTGCAGAGTAAGGAGAGCCAGAGAAAAGCGCTGAGGAGCAGTCACCAAATCTTATTCCTCCTGTCCAAGGAGCAAAGGACAAAGAGCTCCTGCTACCTGGATTGAAGCAACACCGGGAGGATGCCTGGCAGAGCACTGCAGCACTACAGCCGTGCTCCGAGCCAAAAGGAGCAGGCAGGTGCAACAAACACAGCAGAAACTACAAACGACTTTACATAAGAGTATTTAATTGTATAGCAATTTCATTGTACACTCTTCAAACAGAAGCACTGCTTGAAAGACATCCAGTTCCCTTATTTTGTCGCCCTGTACATGTTACACAAATAAGAGCCAGGGCAGCATACAAAGCAAGATGGTGCTCTGGCTTTTCAAATAATTCATTGAAAGAAGCAGGAAGTGAAAACAGAGCTGGGAATTTACAGCCACAGAGGTGGTTTGGAACAGACTGGTTCAATACAACACAGATGCAAAGTGGGAGGGCAAGCTGAGGAGGGAGAAGGATAACAGATTTCCAGGTTGAGGCTAAAGTAGAAATACTAACAACCACACTCAAGTGTCAACATATTGCTCAGATATTTACATTCTGAGCAATAATCAATGCTACAGAGAAGCAACATACATACAAAAATAACTTAAAAAAGCTATACAATTGTACTTATAAATACTATGTCTTTAAAACTAATTAAGTAGTGTAGGCTAAAAACGTTCACAGTTGCTCTGATGAGAGCTATATATATATTGCACAGTAGAAGAGTCCATTTAATATACTGTATGTAAACAATGATTTTTATCTTCTCCTTTGGCAATTTCTGAACTTGGAAAAAAATTGCTGTGAGCAAAAGCACTTGGGTACAAGGCACATCAAAAGCTTTCAAAGCTGCATTAAAAGACAAAGGCTTCTGAAACTTTCCAGTTAGCACTATCCTCCTCTTAGAAAAATGTGTACCTATCAATTCAGAAAGACACATTTATAAAGGCATAACTTAGAGGTCTGGTGACAGAAGCAGTGTTCTTGGCTGTTATTCTACGGTAACAGATTTGGCCAGATTTCTTGGAAAATCCACCTAAAATGAAAAGACAGACTTTCAGTATATGACAGAGCCAAACTGACATTCTGCATCTGGCACTTCATTTCTTGCATGCTTTTTTAAGACTTCCTAATGTGTCTAGAGAAAGCAGAGCTCATTAACGCACACAAGAGACTACAGATCTGCAGATAATGACTCACTGTTGACTTCATCCTCGCTTCCAAAGCCCTCCTGATAAATACTGTATAGGTTACCTTTTCCAAAGAGGTTTTAAGGGTCAAACTAAGCTGTATGAGACATAGAATCTGAGTCGATGGGCAACATCATATTTTAAGATTTAGTTGTCTGAAGAAGTCTAAACTGCGTTCTTAATAAAACTATGCAAGCCATGTGACTTTGTTTTTAAGGATGTCAATTGCAAAAAAAAAAAAGAGCTGAAAAACTGGCACTAAAGTGTCATCTCTTAAGAGTCACCATCAGTGTCACTAACTTCCATTCAAGTTCTTTGTTAGAAATGCTATCTAACTGTACCTCTCACTTTACACTGGTGGCAGGTAGTTCAGCTTTAACTGGATTGCCTAAATATAGAAGGCACTTACATCATAGCCTCTGAGAACAGCCAGGTGGAAGGAAAGCAGTTGGAGAGGAATAACACTCAGGATTCCTTGAAGGCAGTCAACAGTGTGAGGCAGCTCAATTGTTTTGTAGGCAAACTTGGAGCTTTCTGTGTCCTCCTTAGAACACAGGATGATTGGGCGACCCTGAAAACAAGGTTTTTAAAGCATTACTAAAGATGAGAGGAGAACTGCTTTGAGATACTGGTTCACAGCATGTCTGTAGTATGTTTGAAAATACTCAACAGCTGACAAGAACAGTCAGTCTTGCACAACAATGGGAGTGACAAATGCCAATATGTAAATGAGAACTTAATGTTTTCATCCTTTTGAGTCTTAATATTATTCCATTTGCTTCAAAACAAGCAAAAAACCCACTCATATACCAGAAATTTTCCATTACTTTAATGACAAATTATGATACAGATAACCCTCCTTATGTACAATTTTATAATTAAAAATATCCTATTTCTGAGGCACAGCCAGCAGCGATACATTTCAATGTGCACATTCTTTTGCCCTGTGACATTGGTTAAGTAAACAGCTCACCTGTCGAGCAGTGATCTGCTGCAGAGCATTCTGGCACTTGGTGAAGCAAGGATCCTTCATTATCACCATGATAACAGGCATCTGTTTATCTATTAGCGCTAGTGGCCCATGTTTCAGCTCACCAGCTAGGATGCCTTCAGAGTGCATATAGGTGATTTCTTTGATTTTCTAAAAAGAGAGATCAATAGATCAAATGAGAAATAAAGGCCACAAGAGCAACAAAGCATCAAGGCTGCACACGTGCTACTTTCAAAAGCAGACACAAAGCAGGGTTTGCCCACGTGCTTGAATTTACAGATAAGCAAGAAAAGGAGTGACCAACAGAAACTTTACAAACCAAACACTCAGCACAAACTTAGGTGACAAACACATACTACTTTTAGCTTTTCCATCTTTTGAGACATGTATAATGAATATCCCAGTGCAAAAGACAGTCACCCAACTTAACAGTTTTCACTAAAATATGCTTAAACACTGCATTTATTACAGGAAAGAAACAAGAGACTAATAGCATTTACAGATTCAGCTGATAAATGCGTTCAATCCAAGAGGACTAACCAAATTTGTTATAGAAAACAATTATACTGCAGCAGAATTAAGTATCAGAAATCAACTATATTGAAGAAAGCACAAAAGCTGATTTTAAATAGTATTCAAGGATTTCAAAAGGTTCATACCAGAGCTCCTTCTAGACAAGTGGCATAATTATATCCACGACCCATAACCAGCAGCGATCTCTGCTTGTACAGCTCAAGAGCCAAGTCGTGTATCTTCTCATCCAGAGACAAGACTTCCTTAATCATCTCTATCAGATCACACAAAAAGTACATATAAAAAACTTCTATCAATTGAATGAAACCGTAATCACAAATTTGCTTGTTCAGTGATCTACTATGACAAATAAGCCTAATTTAGCTGTTCAACTTAACTCTATTTTTGCAACTTTAAGTATGTTGTGTCCAGCCTAATTTTCAGCAACGAATCTTCTAGGCAAATTATTGGTCACAGCAGTATCTATGCTTTTGTAAAAGGAATGCAAGTTTCTATCATCTCAACATTAATTTCCTTTTTAATCAATACTGATTTCAAGTGAAAGGCTTTTAAAAAATATTAAGTTAGGTCAAAAATGTTTCTCAGAAAATGCTATTATCATTAGAAAACATAACCTATGTTCCTACTTATTTTCTTGGAACAGTACTCATAAAACTGGCAAGTAGCATGAAGTTAAGAGATTTTCTTACATTGCCTGCTTGACAGGGGCTTGGGGGAAAAAGGGGGCTAAAGTCAGATAAGGGGGTCACATTGTAAGGATTTCCAAATTATGTTCTCTCGCAGCCTTTCCACTCCCAAATCGTCAACATACCTGGTAGAGACTGCAGTCCACGAATGATTTCTTGCCTCCTTTTTTGCAAGGAAATTCTGTCTTCAGACATCATTAAGCCAAACATTACAAGAGACACAAACTGGCTGGTATAAGCCTGCAGACAAAGCAAAACATTTAGTAGCTACACCTGTAGAGGGTTAGCATGACCTCATTCTGAAGTTCCACAATTAAAATTTTAACTAGGTTCCACAGCAGTGGAAGTCTGAAAGTCAAAACAGTGAACAGCCATTACCTTTGTGCTTGCCACACCTATCTCAGGGCCTGCATTGATATGTACTCCACAGTCGGTCTCCCTGGATATTGAGCTTCCAACTGTGTTTGTGATGCCAACTGTTAGAGCACGGCGTTCTTTACAATACCTCAGGGCCATAAGTGTATCTGCAGTTTCACCTGGAAAATATTTACATGTTGACTTTTAAGGCTGGTGTAGCATTACAAAGGTACCCAAGAAGCCTAAAAAGCCTAGACTTGATTTTATGGTGCAACTCCAGAAAAGAAATAACTGCCTTCACACTTAAAAATGCAAAAATACGCCCATTGCTACTGTCCCTCTGCAAGACAACGGCATACACATACACACTTGCACACTTTTGTCCCCTTTCTTTTCTCTAAAACTTTCCATCAGTTAAAGGCAAACAGTAGAAGCAGCTCACCTGACTGACTTATAAAAAAGCACACGTCATCTCTGAATACAGGTGTGTTTCTATCCAGGAAGTCACTAGCAAGTTCCACCATCACAGGTAACTCTGTTAGTTCTTCCAGTACTTGTCGAGTCTGAATTCAATGAGCACATGACATTTATTAACATTGCCACCAATATAAATATCGGTCTTTAGAGGGGGATCTAACTGGATCTTATTTTAAAAGGATCACGAGTGCTTCAACACCAAGGTGAAGACAAGATCTATAGCATAACAGGTAAGAGAAGCATAAACAGCAGCATAAAAAGCAAAATTGTAATAGCATAAAAGCTAAAAGTGTAATAGTGTCAGACCTAGGTACAAGGCCAAGTATAAGATACAGAAAGGGAAAAGACACCAGAGATGAAGAGCTCATCTGAAACATAGATATGTGGTAAAGCTGAACATACAGCTACTGCAGCATGAAAACTGGTCCCACAGCCAATAATGATCAGTCTTCTGCATCTTCTGATTTCTTTCAAATGATCTTTCAGACCACCAAGCAGAACTGCAAATATAAACAAAAGAAAAACACACATTAATGCTGTAGTTTTATTTTCAAGTTAATATGTTCAAATTTTGCTGACTTAACATAAGCTTTCAAGTTACACTAACTTACCTGTGCTGTTCACAAAATTCACTCTGCCTCTCATAGTATTGACCACTGATTCTGGTTGCTCAAAAATTTCCTTTTGCATGAATGCACTGAAGTTACCTGTTTAGGAAAACATAACCAGCTGTACATAAACCTGGCCATGTAATTTCAAGTCTTTTATAAAGAGAATTTTTAAGATAAGGTGTGGTAGCACACTGATTTAAGCATAGATGAGAAGGGATAGCTTTATATATTAAGTTGCTTTCATTTTCCCAAAATTAACAGCCTATTTTTAGCTTTCTTTAAAAAGCTTTTTTTAGTCAATTTCCATCTCAGTTATTGGTTTATAGCCTAACTGTGGTAATGTTGAAATTCTCATCCAATATTGAAATCAGAGAGTACCTAGAACTGAGACTAGAGATGAGCAGAGTCCCATTCTGCCCACCTTTTCTTCAATTTCAAGTCCAGAAATTAACCAGTTCCCTGTACAAATACCACAAATCAGGCCTATTTACTACCTATACACTCAGTAGTTATTCATCTTTGAATATACTGAATTACAAACACTTCAACCCACCTTTCATTATTTGCTGCAATTCCATCTGCAAGGTCTGGATGGCCCGGGAAGGATCATCACTAGCTGAACGTTCGAGACGATGAATTGAAAGCTTCCCATCAGTCACTGCTGCAATGTCATCATCTTCTAAGAAAATTACTCTGTTGGTGTGTTCAATGACCGCACTACAGAAAGGAAACCCAAGACAAACGTGCCATTTCAGTAAGAGGTGGCAGCAACACTCCTCAAAGCCAGTTTGTATCCAGAGCCACTCGAGTCCCCTATCTTCCCCTTCAACATAACTATAGATAGAACCATCTTAAAGGAAATGGCTCCATCTGCTGCTGCTCCTGCACTTTCACAGGAATGGGTAGTAAAAAGCTCAGGAACCATCTCACAGCAGCAAATTCCTAACGATTCTGCCTCCAGGTGTGGCAGGGTCTCCCACCAAGACCTGAGGTCAAGATCTTGCTTGAGACGAAGTGCCTCTCTGGTGTTCAATTCCTGCTGAGATGGAACCACACCATTATTTTCTCCTGAGCCACAGACAGCAGGTTCAGTACCCCGAAGCCCCCGAGCAGCCTATATGCTGCCCAGACACTTCACTAAAGGCTGTCTGCACTCAGCTTGCCTTCCTGCACGGGACTGGTTTTACAGAGGGCAGAGGTTAGTGCTAAGCAGATATAGCACCTGCTCACCACTTAAGACCTGGTATCAGGCCTTTGCATTTATCACTTATGTTAGCTTGTGGGCTTTATAAAGCCACCTAGAGAGGCAGTTATCCTGTCAGAGAACAGCTGCACTGCAGCAAGACAACGTACGACTTCCAGAACTGTTTCACTTCTAGACAAAAGCAATTCTTGGAGAAAGGAAAATTAAGTACTATACTACCTTGCATCTGAAGCAAAGAAAAATTCTACTGCCTTATCCCCAATGGCATGCAGGCAGGTAGAGCTGTCAAGTCTTTTCATTCTGGAATTACATATATTCTTTACGTTCTCAATGTTGCCTGTTTAAAAAAAAAAAATACAGAAAAAAATCTGAAACACAGACCAAAGATTTGCTAGATTACAGACTATACAGATTCAAGGAATCACAGCTATGTAGTTACATAGTATTTTAGGGTGAGAGGAACCAAGCAAAGACTTATGAGATGCATATACAGAGGTACAAAAATAGCATATCTTGGTTACCAATTTGGGCCATCATCTGGTTGTTCTACAATTCACAAACTAATTAGCCTAACTTCTAATTATAAAGTGGCAATAATCTTAGCAATAAGATAATTGAGTTTATCAACTTACATGTCCTATATAAAACAGGAATCTGATCAGTGGAAAGCTTGTACTTGCTTCTAACACCAATAAGCAGAGGGCTTCCTCTCCTACAAAGGGAACATTCACAAATTGGCAAGGAGAAAGCGTCAGGCAAGGAAGTCATAGAACATCTGCAAAGCTGAAGGAAAACATCCAATCTGGTCCCTAAAGGACGAGGGTAGGAGTTCATCCTAATTCCACTGGGTTGCAAAAATTATATGTTTTTGTCTTGTTCTGTTTAAAATTCTCAAAACCTTACCTAGATAAAGACCACACACTTTAGTGAGTCATCCTCCCCACCTCCTCTTCCCCAAATCTATATTCAGATAGAGGAAGTTGCACCTCTGCTAAGCTGTTTAAATAAAAGCTGATTCTGTCAAGAGTCAGCAATATATCCAATCACCCTTTACTACTAGGATACTATTTCATCCTGTAGCCTTTTAAGCTCAGAATGTCAGTCTTCACCACTGCTCCTCTGAAATTGGGGAAATTAAGATCAGTTTTTCAATTATGAGTCACATGTTGCTATTAAAAAAAACTGTTGTGAGGCTGTAACAGGAAAAGGGACAGGCTACAGGAATAAATTTGTCAGTACTAAGTTCTTCTGTGAGCGTCAACTAGATGATCTCCAGCTACAAGTGTAATTCACATGAATCAAGAATACAGTGTCTGACTTCTCTTCATACTGTGTTTGGATCCTCAGGAGTGAGGCATCACGTCTAATTTATTAGGTAGAAAACAAGTGAAAGATTATAGAGTGTTTTATGAAACCTAATCATTATACCCAATCACTGTAATTCTGTGATCTGAAGTCTATAAAGCTCAAATCAAGTTAAATTTAAATAGCTCAGTGGGGCTTTGCTGGATTTCATACAGATTTCAGTAGTGCAGACATCCATCTACTAAATTCAAATTAAGCAAATTTTTTTGTTCCCTGGTGAGAAGAGTTGGTCACACTGTGAGTCTACTTAAACTGAAGATTAAAAGACTTGTTTTAAGGATAATAGATATTAGCATGAGCAAATAAATATTTTACTTGTACTCACCTAGTAGCAACAGCTTCACCTGGGTAATGGATGCTCTTGAAAACCAATGCAAAAGCACCTTCCTGAAATCATGCAGACAGATAAGTTATTTAGGACTTTATTCTTATCTCAGTCACGTCTCATTAAACTGGGGCCCCTCTTCCTGAGACATTTCTAAGGGAAAGCTCATTACTATTATCAGGAATTCTCTTCCTGGAAGGCAGACTGCACCTTTAAAGGAATTAGCCAAGAAGCAGAACAGCCCTCACAAAAAACAGCTGAAAACTCAGAAACTGAACACTGAGAAAAGACACTTCAGCTTCTTTTATTTATAAAATAGCTCCAGGGCAAGATCTCGGTGCTCTTACTGGTAAGAAACATTAAAAACAGTTTCTGAACACATGTTTTATAAGAACATGCAGCTAGGTTTTCCTCATCACATCACACATTTTGGAGCTGCTCCTAGTTTAAGGAGGAGGCCCTCACCCAAGAACACAATCATGCAACCAAAATACAACATGCCTTACTGCAGCTTGTAAGGCTGACAAGCATTACTGCAACAAGAGCAAAAGCCCTCCTGCCTTACGAAAGAAAAAGAAGGTAACAGTCACTCCACCACGAGGAGAAACACACATCTGCACAGAGTGTAAACTTTTTGGGCACAGTCTAAGTTTATAATGCATCTATCAATATCTAAGGAGTTTTCATCTAATTTCTTGGTCTATTAAGAATAATTCAAAAGTCAAGAAGCTTTATTTACAGCAATTCCTAAGGAGTACTGAAGATGACCAAAAAGCGCAAATGCAGAATTAAGGAACCCCACAGATAGCTTCCCCTTTAGCACAAGGTGGGGGAGAAACCACACAACTTACCAATTGTTGAATAACTCTTTCTACCAAGACTGAGAAACTGGTCTCCTCACTCTCTCTGTTGTCATACACGTATTTGATCAATTTGGCAATTGTTTCTGTATCCGTTTCAGACTCAAATTCGTAGCCTTTGCTCTCCTGAAATACCATGCAGGAAAGTAACAATTTTTTTTCAGCTTCAGGCAAGAAATAGAGGTTTTCAACTCCCTACTCAGAGCTTTACACTGGACAGGCACACATATCACAGTAAAGACGTAATCTGTCACAGCTCAGTCTTTTGGAAACACAAACTAAGACTTGCTTGGGCTCCCTCCTGACTTGTTGCTTAGCAGAGGCTAACGCGTGTACACACTTGCAAACAGTTTGAGCACAATGCTACTCTACTCAAATATTTTGCATTTAGGAATATAAGAATGCATTGCACTTCAGCAGCTCCTGAGTATCTTTATGAGGCAGTCTCCCTCATGATACCATTTTACATCTGATATGCTGACAAACCTCAATCAGATCCTATCAAAGAAATATCTGGAGGTGGGTAGTAGGGCCTTTAGTTTATAATTAAGCTGCTACAAACTCACCAGGAATTTTCTCAGATCCTTATAATTTGTGATGATTCCATTATGGATTACAACAAACTCTGAAAGAAAAAGTAATGGGAAGCCAAGATACTTAACACAGTGCACATGAAACAGAAGAGCTTAAAAATACATTAGAAGCTAACTAGTAGTCCGAGGTCTGTTAATCACAGCAGTCCCAGTTAAGGTATCAGTTAATCATAGCGTGCACAAGAGAATACAGAGGCTTGGAAATGCTGACCATATGTACAGGTTGTTCCCAACCTTCACATAGACAGTTTTAAACATCAAGACAGTTTTAAGCTACAGCTACTGGAACAGCACCACGGCGTCTCTCAGGTGAGAAGCAAAGTGAATCTCCCTTTTCTAGCCCAGACAATTTGATGCACTTAAACACTTCTGTTCACAATGTCTTATTGCTGCAACAATGTTACACACTGGCCAGAAAAAGAGTACCAGTTTTCAGAAAAGAGATCTCATTCATTTTTACTTTATTCAGTATTACTTTAGCCATGGAAGAGATTCTGTTTTATCATATGAGCATCTGACCTCAGCAGCACTGCAACAGCTTAGCCCTAGCACACAGAACAGATACCATAATATTAGTAAGACAGCCAGCTATTTGTATTATGCAAATTCAACCATTTCAACCTTATAAGCTAAAGACAAATTACATCTTATAGAAAATACATACCATTCTTTTTATCTGATCTCTGAGGGTGACTGTTTATTGCACTGGGTGCTCCATGAGTTGCCCAGCGAGTATGAGCAATCCCAAAGTGTGTTTCAAAAGCCGCTTTTGAATCCAAGCTGTCTTGTTCTACACATAAGAAATTAATTTATCAAATATTTGAAGTTGTGAGTGTGCTTGGGTGAGGCAAATTCAAGTAATAAGTCCAAAAATTTTTACAGGCAAAAAATTAAAAGCCATCTTCCACCCTCCTTTAAAATTATTTGATCTCTTGACATTACACTTTAGATAGTTCAAATTAGTGGGAATAAACTTCCATTCAGCCAATTCAGCATTTTTGACCAATAACTAGGCTAACAAACCACATTAATATAATAAGTGCATTAAAATATAGCTTTTTTCCCCCCTTCATAGATGGAAATGCTGTATAAAGCACACAGATGACAGCCAGCTGTTTAAATGCTAGTGTAAATTCTTTCAGAGTCCATGCTCTGATATTTCATCTACCAAGCACAGTAATCACACCAGCAGCACAGCAAGGGACCTGGGTCTTAAAGAACACGGGAGCAATCAAAAAAAAAGGAGAATAGGCCAATAATTTTCACAGTACTGTAACTGAAGATTATCTTGCTTTACAAATGTAGATTTGGGAGGCAAAAAGCCCTTTAGAGCTGCCATTAAACTATACAATGCAATTATTACTGGTATAAAACTCTAATTTCACAGTTTGAATTTCTGCCGAGATGCAGATATGCTAAGAGTGGGAAGCCAAGGGAAGATGTAAGTTTGAAAACACTTACTGTACAATTCTTCTTCTAGGGCCTTTACTTTTCCTCTTTTCTTAACTAGTTTGATGAACCTTGCTTTATCTTCATTATTATTGCCATCAATTGCCACACCTACAGTTTAGGGCACAATCAGAAGTGTTATATATATCACGAGAGATACCAGATGAAAAATAAATTAAAAAAGAACTGTGAAGATAGACAGACAACTACATTCTTGTCCTTTTACTAGAATACACATGCACAAGCCAACTTGAGGCACAAACCACATGGAGGGGTTCTTCCTCACCCTGTTTGGTTCGCTTATGTATGCTACATCTCAAACACCACCCAACTACAGACCTAACCACCCGCTTTAAAATCCCAGAGAAAGCAGGAGAAGAAATTCTAAGAATTAAGATAAGGGGCTCTTTCAATTGGCAATTGTGGAATATAGAAAACCCAAGGTACAGAGGTTAAAAGCCCATGAAAAGTCACATAGGTTTTGTGGCTTAATAGTAATGACTCAAGTAAGTTATTGGTTGCTGACATTGATTTGTTGAGCAAGTTTTAATACCTGCAGAGTCATATCCTCTGTATTCCAGTCTCTGCAATCCTTTTATCAGGGTCTCAAATATTTCCTTCCGAGTCCGAGGTACTCTGTAGTTCAGATAAGCAAAAATTCCTGCTTAAACAGAAAAGAGGAAGGAGCGGGGGGGGGCGGGAAAGAAGAAAAAAAGCAAAGAGATTTTGAGTTTGTAGCCCTTCAAACTGTATTTTTAAGCTTCCTATATTAGAACACAAAAGTGACCCAGGAGAACCTTCTTTCCCATTTATTATAATTCTTACTATAGTGTTTTTAAATGGAAAAATACAAATGTAGTAAATGGATGCTGACCATTTTCTTCGAGCAAACACACAAGCTTTCATAGCCAGTTTCACTCTCCTCCCGATGTTACCCAGCAAGAGTTAAGCATTTGAGAACACTTAAGAAAAAAAATCTACTTTTCATGAAAACCACAGCTGAAAATGGGAACAGCGTGATCTATTTCGTATCCAGATCTAAAACCAGACATTCAAAGAAGGAGCATATTCACCGGCACTAACACAAGGAGACTTTTGTAACTAAAGTCAGTCCTGAATGCCCAGAAGTAGGTGGTTGGCACATCTATTTCTGCAAGGCTCCAGCTTAATCTGATACACACCAGTCACTTGAGCAAGAAGAGATGAGACATGAAAATATAAAGAGAGGGCAGACGTCAAAAGGATAGGACAACAAAGTGAGGAAAGAGAAGATACAGAACAGAGCCACCCAAAGAAAACAAGCATTCGACAATCGCGGTGCCTCAACACAGCCCTGGCTGCCAATCCCAACCTGACAGAGACATAAGATCCATTTACTCACTGCACATCACTCAGGCCACCTCTTACAGAGAGGTCACAGAAAGATGTGAACTCACTGCTTTCTCCTTTGCAAACAGACAGTCTAATGACCTCAAAAATCCAATACCTCTTCTCTTGAATAGGCCAGTCATCACTAAAAGCTTGGTCTTGGTTTTAATACTATTTTCACACTCTACTTCAGAAGAGGTTGCCATTCCATCTGGGATTTCTGCATTTATAAGGCTAGATTAGGCCTTGTTACTAACACTTGGAAACCTGTATCCCATCAGAAAATTCTAATTCCACTGTTCCAACAGTTTCTTTAATCAACAAATCAGAGGAAATCTAAGTACTGAACAGTGAGAGAGTGAGAGAGAGGAATAAAAAAAGAAAAAAAAAGAAAAGAGGGTGCAGCATTAGCAAGAACAGGCTGTTGAGATGACAGAGAGCCTACGAGCATGATGCTAGTCTTGGGATACACCTTCCAGGTATTCATGGTGGAAAATCCTTTCCTTTTGCAAGGCTGAGATTTATGAGGAGTCAAGTCCAGTAATATCCAGAGTGTCCAATATTAATAGAGCTATTAAGACAATAAATGCATTTAAAGAGCTATTTAGGCATTTGAGCACCTTCTAAATACTGTTGTTTGTGGATACTTTGAAATAATGCCTCCAGTTACACAGAGCCACCTTAGACAGAGCTTGTTGATCATTTTTCCAGACCAGCATTTACCCTCCTCTGGCACTAACCACGGACCTCAAGAGCAGCATTCTTCAAGACAAATTTCTCAACATCATTCCAAAACATTGCTACACACCTCATTTCAGATCCAGCTCTACTTTCTAGGCCAGATTTCACAATGCATTTAAGACACATCACGCTTTTACGTTCCATGTGGCATCTCGGACTCCACAGAGCTCCAGGAAAACCTTTCCTTTGGGACTGTCTTTACAATGCTACCAGTGTGCTGCAATTGTTAAAGGATCCTTGTTCCTAGGGAACTCGAGCTGTGACTCCTCGCATGTGAACGGGAACACTCAGAAGTCACTAGAGGCCATTACTGTGAAAGCAATAGCAGTGCTTGACTTGTCAAGGAATATATTACAAACTCTTTCAGTTGAAGGAAATAAATCTTACTCTCAGCATGGTTTCCTCTGTAGTTTTTTTCTTCTGTTTCATGATTTACCCAGTTGCGTATTTTCTTCCCTACTCCATCATTTTGGCTAGATTTAAAGCACATTGCTCAACTCATTTAGCAAGAATGTTTGATAAAGACCTCTTGTAGCTTAATTCCTTCTGGAAGCACACCAACACCACTGAAGCTTACTTGAATCATACTCAGAGAGGTCTGTGATACTAATACATTTCTTTATAACGGCCTCCCCAACCTATTAAATGCCCTTTTCAACAGGGCTCACATCCTTACTCCCCCACAGAGATTTCAAGTAACTTTGGAACCTAATGCAATTCTGAAGGCTTTCAAGTAACTTTGGAACCTAATGCAATTCTGAAGGCTTTTTTTTTTTTTTTTTTTAAATGGTCAGCACAGTATCAGCAAAGAAATATTTTCCTAACTCGTTTATATAGCATGGAATCCAGTGAAATTTAAGAAGCATTTTACTACAGCACCGCTCTCGACCCAAATGCTCCATCTACTCTCTACCTTTCCACAACCCCGGGGTTTGCCCAGGAGCATCAAACAGACCTATATGGGTTAGAGTTTACCTTTAAAAATATGATAACCAAAATAGAAACCAACAGGTCATTAAGACACTATTAAAGCCGACTTTAAATAGCTAAACAGACTCAAAATAAGGGTCTCCCTTTAAGCACATACTGAGAGTTTAAGAGATTCCCCTTTCCCTTCCAAAATTGAAAGTTGAAGGCCAAGAAGGAAAGGGGGGATAGAGGGATAAATGAAAAAATTCTACAAGAACACTTGTAATTCCAAAATTTTACCAAAAGTCAAAAGGGCAGCCTATATGTAAAGTCTGAGCAAGAGTAACAATTTTTAAAGTAAAAGGAAGCCTCTGCTCAGTATTGAGGCAAGCACGTTTTTGATGTCACAAACTTAGTCCCAGATTCAGTTTCATTTCCTGTTGATGTGGATTTTGATTTAAAATTGGCAAGGAGTTTAAGAATCATTTGCCCGTGTTTCTTATTCCAAACCCTGCATCACCTTTGCCTGAATGTGTGCACATAAATGAGACAATATTTCAAAACTGTTTCCTAAAAAGTATACTTAGGTCTGTATTCATTGACAGATGTATTTTCAAAATAGAAAAGCTAGATATTTGACTTCAGGAAGCACATGGAGGCAACAGAGTATATTCTTCATATTTAAACCTCAAAAGGTATTAAAAAGAACAGTTTAAAATTGTTGATTGCACAGAGGACCTCAAGAACCCCTAATGCTTCCTAGAGCATATTCAATATAGCATGAAGTTAGGGGATGGCTTTCTTATTAACAAACCTCACCTCAACTTGGATTTTTAAGTGTCTGGGAATCATATCAGCGACACCCCAAAACTTTTCCTTTCAGTACCACCTCGGTCCCTTTCCCCTTTGTTTGGGTGTTTACTCATTCTGCCAGCACTGAAGGTGCTGTGCCTCCAAGCATTGATGGGATCTTAATATTGGCAACAAGCTAACACTACTTTAATTGTATTTCACAAATTATCCTTACTCATTTTACACTGAGTTACTCCATCCCAGGCTTGCTGTTCTACTCATTTAACGTTGCTAACACCTTGATTTCTCAATCAATATAGCCCCAACGTGTTAGGCTTTATACATTACATACCCTAGTGGTTGCAATCGATACCTTGGGCTTGCTTAGGCAGGGAGCCAAGTCTCTCACCTGAAGAGCTTTTGCTCCGAAGACAAAACAAAGCTCTTCCCGAGTTTGCTTTGTTGATAGCGAGTTACAAGTCACCCTGATGCTCAAACAGTATCATCTTGCACTTCCATTCAAGCAGACGCCCCTTGCTAGATACCTTGGTCTTTTTGAAGTTACAATGATTAAAGGATGCGAAAGCAGAGAAGAGATAGCTAGTTCTGGAGATATATTTTGGGAGCAGCAGTTAGCTCCCATTCAGTAGGCATCTCACAAAAGAGTATTCACCAACATTGCTAAGAAAAAAAGGATTTTTTTCCCCTTTCAGTGGAAGAATCAATTCAGATCCGAAAGGAAGGTTAAGTGAAGGGATAGGTATGTTTTCACTAACGTTTCCTCCACAATAGAACATATTGTATTAGCAGCCTTTGAATCACCGCTTTGATTTCCATCTCACCAGAGTATACCTAAGCAATTGTAAGTATGATCTATACAGATATCACCTTCCCCATCTCATCTTTAGGAGGGAAAGGAAGGTGAATTAACTCACATCAGCCAACAACTAAACTCATTTGCAGCCTTTGTTTGAAACCGCAAGCTGCCCTATCTCTGTGGCTCAGTCCTACTCCCACTGAACCCACAGCTCTTGGTTCAGAAACACAGAGCCAACCCCGGGGAGAAGTTTACACGTTGGCCAAGGTGGCCGTGCTAGCACAGGAGCAAACATCACCAAGAAGCCCAAATATCCCAAAAAGAGGCAGCTGGGACCACCATGGGTTTGCTCACAAAAGCAAAGACAAGCCAGCAGGATGCTGGAAAATGAGAAAGACTATGCAGAAGAAAGGGCAAGTTTCTGGAAGGACGGTGGAGGTTTCCCCATCCCCTGCCACCACAGCCTGTCCCACTCCCCACGTCCCCACAAAATGGACGCAGGATCCGGACGAGGCTCCACAACCAGGGGCTGCCAGGAGGGGCAGGAGGCCGGCACCTCACACCTCCTGCCAGCCCAGCCCCGAGCCTGCTGTGGGGAAACAGAAATAAAGCGGCTCCCGTCCCGCCGCGCGCTTTGTCCGCCGGCGCCGCCCGCTCCGGGCAGTCCCCGCCGCAACGGGCGGGAAGGGGGTCCCGGGAAGGGGGTCCCGGCCAGGGGGCTGCCGCGGCGGCGCCCCCATCGCTCCCACACCGCCGCTCACCGCACATGGTCGCTCCACGCCGCCCGGCCCTGCCCGCTGAGAGCAAACGAGCGCGGCTTCCCGTCGACGGCCTCGCTGCAGGAGTGCGGCGGCCGCGGCCGCCCCGGCTCTTATAGCGCGGCTGGCTCGGCCCCTGTCGCCGAGCTCATTGGCCGCGGGCGCCGGGGCTGCTCCGCTCGGCGCTGCGAGCGGGTGAGCGGCGGAGGGGCTGCGGCCGCCCTGCCCCTCCGCCAAGCCCGGCCCAGGTCTCCGCCCGCCCCCGCTCCCTCCTCGCTGTTTGCCGGAGGAGCGGGAAGCGGCTCCTCCTCTGGGAAGGACGAGGCACGCGGGGCGCGCGAGGCGCGACGTGGCGGCGCGGGAAGCTCCGTCATGGCTGTCCCTCAAGGAGCCTCGCGGGGGAGCAGCTGCCGCCATCCCGCGTGCTGGCCACGAGCGTTGAACACACGTGGGCGAGAGTGTCCTCGAAGCCCCCCCGAGACAAAGCGAATGCGGCTGGGAGCCGTGGCGAGGGCGGCCAGAGGCGAGGGCCGCCATATCACCCCCTAAGGAGCCGTTTTTCCCCCAGGCAAGCCGCTGCAGCCCTGCTGTCACTGCTCTCTAGCTCCATTTTGCAAGAAAGACGCAACAGACCTGCTCCAACAGCCCCCATCTGCTTATTCCTCCAGCCATCCCTTGTTTAGGGAGAGACTGTCACTTTATCTGCTTTTAGAGGAACTTTTGATCTTTTATCTCAGGAAATCTTGTCTGATTTGCCACCATGGATATGGCGGTTCTCAGAGCAAGGACCTCGTGATGTATTGCTGGACAATACGCATAGGATGGCTGTGCTCTTGCTCACCAAAGCCATTAAGGATGATTTTTTTTTTTTTTTTTTTTTAGTTTCATGGCATTTCAGTATTTTGCATAGTTTCTATTTTTTTTATTGTTTAAAAATATCACAATATTATGTACCGGTAACCCGAGTTACTCCTTGTATAAGGATCCTGACATTCAAGGGCAAAGCATTTTATTTGAACTACAATATAAATGCACATTTTCTCTTGAGTTTATTTTTGTAGTTCTTTTTTTTTTTTACCTCAGCTTAAAGGAGTGACAGCATGAAACTTTTTTAATGGTAAGGTTGACTTAAGAAAAAGATTGGAACCTCAACACCAAAAAATAACCCCAAACCCTAACCCCTTGTGTAAATGTCTGTCACTTGAATGGGCACATACATCTCAATTTTAGTTCCAAAATCTAGACTTAAAATACTTTGAAGACACCAAATTTAGAAAATAAAAAGCTTTTACAGTTGGCAACTGCTTTAAGTTAGTTTGGGAAGGCATAGTTGATTATTTTACGCTGCTTGTGCTGGAGAGCTCTGCACACCGTACCCTGCACAAACAAGCTCTTTTGTGTGTTTTCTCCCCCGGAACAAGATCAGACAGGTTCATGATTTGCCCCTGTGCTGCAGCCCCGGCTCTATCACTGACTTGCTGCGTGACGTCAGGCCAGTCGTTTTGCCACTCCATTCCCGTTTGTTTTGTCCATTTAGATTACGCTGTGGTTCCTCTGGAGCAATCCTTGATTATGAGTTTCCCCTGTGCAACCCGAAGGGAGGGGAAGGTATCCGATTTCAGCTGCGTTAAGTAGTATCGCTATTAATATTGAATTTAAATAGTAAAGATGATAGTTGGGTCTTTTTGGTCCTTATGCAACAGGAATTTTAGAGATTGAGATTTGTGGTTTTTTTTTTAAAACAATCATTTAAAAGTAATGATCAATGTTAAGATAATCAGTTTGGAGGCTAAGGAAGCTCTTTAAGTACAAAGACAGAAGAGCTGCAAGATTTTACCACTTTCAGCTGTGTTTCCCTCCCACCCCCATCCCACTGCGCTCATATTACCCCTTTTGTAGCAGCCCTGACATTAGATGCAGCTCGTCTTCTCAGCTGCCAGTGCATTACACTACACGCTTATCGATCCCAAATTGTTGCATGAACTGCCAAAGATCACGAATCGGAATCCAAAATGTCATTCGAGCAAGGCATTTCATGTTTCATGTGACATTCCCATGGTGAAAATCAGACAAAGAAGACCCAGCTGGAAGTATGAACTGCATTAATTAATGGTTATCATGTCCTTTTCGAGGAAGTGTTGACTCATTATATGAGACTCATCTGTCTCTGTTGCCATTTGGCTTTTTATTACTGCTTTTAGAAGTGTATTTTGGAAGTGTATTAGAGAGTAATCGTATTTACAAATGGATTTGTTTGGCTTGAAGGGATGGGTTTACAGCACAAGGGGAGGCAGTGTGTGCACGGCCTGTGTGTGCCTCAGGACAGGACACAGCCAAGTGCAAAAGGCCGAGTGCTCCTCTGCATCCACCTCAGCACCATGGAGAGTTTTGAAGGAAATTAACTCCTGACTTTGAAATGAGAACAGTGATACCTTCCCTCTGCTCGGCAGGCAGCAGGATGAGGAGTTCAAAGGAAGAAGGCATATGTGTCATATGGACAGTCCTCGGGGAGAAGGTGTTAGCCAGCAATTTGCCTAGGACTTTCTTGGGAATGGGAAGTCGCTATTTTCTGTTTAAGAGTACGTAATAGTAATTAACAGCTTTTGCAAGAAGAGAAGAGTCATCATTCCTCATAATCAAAGCGCTGATTGGTGTATTAGAAGTTTTGCATAAATGTGTCTTAACATGGCACCTAGGATCAAGAATAACGTAACCGAGATTTAAATTCACTGCTGGTTTTTCAACAGAATATTCCTAATGAGCACATACAATGGAAAACCAAAAAGGCTAAGTAGCTTAAACTAAAGCTTTGCAATACTTCTTTTAAAAAACACATATAAAATTTAGCTCATTGGAAGCGTTGCATTTTAAACATCACTGGGCAGTTCACTGTGTTACGGTGTAGAAACAAATCCCTCGTGGCAGCAGCCACCGCTGCTCGTGAGCTCTCGGCACCCGGAGCAACGCGCACAGCGATTGCTGCACTGCTCTGGTCAACTCACGTTCGTTTTCACTCCTGCGCATACAAACCTGGCCTGCTCTTTTGGTGAGAATAATTTCATTCCATTCCCCTCCTGATTTGTTTTCTCAGCTTTAATATTTCAGGGATTTAAACTGGCCTTTGAAAGGAACACCTTTGAAGCTAGAAAATAGTTTTGCTGCTGGCTGCCCTCTGGCTTGCCCTTTAGACAGTTCTCTGGCAAGAAGCTTCTGATTTTGCAAATCAAAACCTGCTGTTCTCCGGAGCACATACTAGCATTCCTCAAGAAGCAGGAGCAAAGCAAAGGGATGCCAGAAAAGGTCCGATTTCTCAGCACCTCACACCCCCCAATATTGCCTTTGCCACCATGTGCGGCAAGATGCTGCTGCAGAAGCAACTGGAAGGGGCTGGAAGGGACCAAGGTGCTGGGGATACAAGATGCTTCGCTGCAGACCCCGTTAGCAGCTGCAGTTCTCAGCTACAAGGAAACAAATCCAAACTTGTGAAAACAGTCCAAATAAGCTGTGTCTGGCTTCTCTCATATACTCAGCTCCACTGTCCCTATCATTTCCTCCTACAATCAAGATAGATATAAAAATCTGACACAATGGGAACTAAAGCTACCCCTTTACTTGTCATTTGGGGTTAAAATAAATGAGATGAAAATATAGCCAGGGTACAATGTAATTCAGAGATAGCGTCTGCCCAGCACACTCTCAAATATTAGTTTTACACCTACCACTATTGGAGCCATTTACAGCCATTATGCTAATGCCTACACGGTCACTCCGTATTTCTATATGGTTTTTAATGCTTGGCACCAATTCCACCTACAGTTTAAGCTGTTTTTGTAACTGCTTACAAACTTGTTCTTTTAGCAGTTTAATTCATTTAAACAGAAACGTTCGTTTTCCTAGCCTGCTGATCAGTGACCCCTTTATACCTCTATTCATAGGTTACTGGGGTTATGAGATCTGCCATAATCTGACAGTTGTGAAATCAGATTTGGACACGTTTGCATTTGATAGAAATAAGGACATTTTACACATGGGATTTCAAGAGAAACTTTACCATCACCAACTATATGCAAAACCAATGCAATTGTTACAAACTCCCCCTGGAAATTTTTTTTCCATGGGCACCTTCTTTGATTAAATAAAGAAATATTTTCACCTTTAACTCTGCTACTAAGATTTTTGTTCTGAGACTCACGATGTGAACTTCAACACTTACTATTGCTTGTGTAATTTAAAGATAATCACTCCTCCCAGAATCAAATTTTGGGGAGAATATAGAATGAGGGTTGTCGGGAATAAATAAATAAATAGTATATGTTTATGTTTTCCAGATCTTAGTTACCAAGTTGATTTTAAAATCGAATGTTTTCACTCTTGAAAAGTCATTCATGCCCGTCATAACATTTTGAGTCAAATGCAAAAGCTTTTTGTTAAGCAGTGCCTTTCGCCAGCAGCCCAGACAGTTTTCACTTCCGTTGACCCACGCTCCCTGGCCAACTTCAAACCCAAACAGCTCCAACCCGTATTTGTACAGCTGCGAGCAGCAGACTCCTCCGCCCCCCATAAACCCTCGTGCTGCAGAACACGGGCTCAGCGCGGAGGAAGTTGCCACCAGGTCTCACTCTGGGTGCTCACGAGCCTTCGCTGGCTTCATGGGCTACCAAAATCCTGCCCATGTTGTCAAGGAAAATCTCACCATAGAAATGCACACTTTGGTACGTCGTTATGATCTAGATCAAACTTACTCAGACACAGACTGGTGTTAAATTAAGGTATGAATGGCAAATATTTAACCAAAATACATGTATGTATAAACCAGCTTGGCATGAAAAACTGAAATTATTTCTAAGCCACCTGAATGAATGCAGGTTTAACCTGGTAAATGCTGAAGATCTCATACATTCACAAGCAGCTTTTCAGCAAGCATCCCATTTTATGTCACATATCTTCCGAACCACTTGCGGTAACCGAAGGAGGATGCGACAGCTCCAGAATCTGCCCGGCACCTGCCGCTGCGGCTGGAGTGACAATTGCAGCGCCGGAGCGACGGGCAACGCTCATCGGGGAGGTCATTGGTTCC